TTGTTGGTATAGGTAATTTGTAGAACAACAAAACTATCTAAAACTTTTACGTAAACTTTTCAAAATTCACTTTGCTTTTGTTCAGTATTGGCACTTAATGGAATTAGGGTGATCTGGGATTCACTTACATATTCAGTTTACATGAGGATGAGAACAGAAAGAAAAAAGACAGAAACAACCATTTTTACCAGGATAAAAACTTAAAGGATCCCCTCAACTAAAATTCTTGGCATTGATCTTTTTAGGATTATCTACCCCTTTACAACTGGGTCGACTGAAATTATCTGTGAAGATGACTTTTTCAAGGTTATCCAACCGAGATTAGAACCTACAACCAATATTGTTCGACGTAACTAACCAAGAGATGTCATATAAAGAACCAACGCCTTAACTGGCTGCCACAGAACTCCAGAAATAAACGGATAAATTGATCAACAAAGAAGAAAGTGGTATTCATCTTCGATGTATTTTGATTATCCAGTTCATCCATCGTTGAAGCTGTGCATAGACAAAGAGGGACTGGATGATAGAGGTTTCTATCGTCGAAGCTCTGCATAGACAAAGAGGGTCTGGGTGATAGAGGTTACTATCGTCAATGCTGTGCATAGACAAAGAGGGACTGGATGATAGAGGTTTCTATCGTCGAAGCTGTGCATAGACAAAGAGGGACTGGATGATAGAGGTTACTATCGTCGAAGATGTGCATAGACAAAGAGGGACTGGATGATAGAGATTACTATCGTCGAAGCTGTGCATAGACAAAGAGGGACTGGATGATAGAGATTACTATCGTCAATGCTGTTCATAGACAAAGAGGGACTGGATGATAGAGGTTACTATCGTCGAAGCTGTTCATAGACAAAAAGTGTCTGGGTGATAGAGGTTACTGTCGTCGAAGCTGTTCATACAAAGAGGGACTGTGTGATAGAGGTTACTATCATCAATGCTGTTCATAGACAAAGAGGGACTGGATGATGGAGATTACTATCGTCGAAGCTGTGCATAGACAAAGAGGGTCTGGGTGATAGAGGTTACTATCGTCGAAGCTGTTCATAGACAAAGAGGGACTGGATGATAGAAGTTACTATCGTCGAAGCTGTTCATAGACAAAGAGGGACTGGATTATAGAGGTTACTATCGTCGAAGCTGTGCATAGACAAAGAGGGACTGGATGATAGAGGTTACTATCGTCAATGCTGTTCATACAAAGAGGGACTGGATGATAGAGGTTACTATCGTCGAAGCTGTGCATGGACAAAGAGGGTCTGGATGAAAGAGGTCATATATGATTTTATTTCAATGGCTAAATAAACATTTAAACGGCTAAACCAATATGAAAATATAAATGATAATAATATGAGCGAATATGCTCGTGTTACGTTGGCTAATGGTTTTCTTGTTTATAGTTTGTTGTGGTCTAGTAACATATTGGGCAATCAACAGACAGCTTGAATTACAAGATTTCGTGTTTGTTGTGCAAACAGATTCGGAGTCGTTCGGATGGGACAATAAACCGAGACCCCGTGGACTACAGGCTATGCACGTTAAAGATCGCTCGACAGTTGGAAATTGACAAAGAGCAGGTTAAAGCCACTGTCCTGGAAAAACTTCCCTCATTGTACCCTGCATGGCGTTGCCTGTCTTTATTAGGCTACATGATGCAGAAAAGTAGGACGTAAAACTCCATTCATTTCATTTTACAACAGATTCGGCAATCAACAGAGACTTTGAATCACAAGATTTCATAATAAATATCTTTCATGAAAGGTACACTACCTCTTTTACATACCAAACTTTTAAATTAGGCCAAAATGAGTCCTTAGATTTGATACAGGAAACAGTTTTCTAGATTTTGGTGTATAGTTTTCAGAAATTTGATTACTTTTTCCAACCTCATTTATGAAAATGCTTATACTTATATGAATAGAAAGTTGTGACTTGGAAAAATACCAGTTTGTCTCACATTTCCATAATTAATTCATAATTAGCTAAATTAGATGAGAATTGCCAGCAGAATTCCAAAGAGTGACCGATCAAGAAAGGTCAAAAAGTCTTCTTTTTGTTTATCCAGACTGTACATATATGGACATATATGATTGCTTAAAACTCTTAATTATATGCAATAAGAACATAATGATATAATTAAGAATACATGATAATTCATTCGAAACACCAATTAATCAAAAAATTTGCTTAATTTGACACTATAAAATGAGGAAACCCATCTTTAAAAACAGACTGCCTCTTTAATGTTTTCAAGTTATTGAATAGATACTTTATCTAGTGAGGCGTCAGGGGCAAACAATCTATCCGAAATAAAATATATTTTTTTTAAAGTCAAGTTTACATCGTGATCAAAATGTTTCTACAGTTGGTAGTATTTGCTGTTATAGGTATGTATATTTTCTATGTCCGTTACTTTAAGGTAGATGATCAAAACATTTAAATTTTCCAATTTGATTAAAAAGAGTTTTTGTTCATCAGTGGATTACCTGGTGTCATAACTATACAACAGAATCCTTCTATAATCCAATAAATCCATAAAACTAAGTAATAATTTTATTAAACGTGTTTCAATAATTACTTAGTTTAAAGATGTGTTTCCTTATTTTTTAGAGTTGTATTTGTATGTTCATTCTAAGACGTAATATCACTTTAAGTCATGATAAAGTTCGTCATAAGGATAACCCAGAGGATAACCCAGAGGATAACCCAGAGGATAACCCAGAAAGTTAATATCTTCATCAGCTTATTTCCAATGGGATCAAACACTTATTTATTCTGGAATAGCAGGAACCACAGACGTCTGATTGAAATTGGAAAGATACAATTTGATGCTGTCAGTGTCAGATACAAAAAAATTCTTAGAAAATCTCTTTACAATCCCTTTAAGAGAAAAGACCCTCGTTCTCAAGTTTAACTTTTATCGCCTGGGGCTTAGATGTAAATGTCTATATAGGTTTCTGGGTCTTTTGTGAAGTAGGACATCATATAAAATTAATATGCAAACTAAACGTAGTAATTCTATTATTTCAGTCAAGCGTTTATGGAGCAAATCCTTTAGGGATTGTAAAGAGGTTTTCTAGTCTTTTTATGTGTATGACACCTTTGACTTCTATTTGAGACATTCCAATTCTTCGTCCAATACCTGTGGTTACAGCAATTCCAGAAAGAGTTTACCGGAACTGACGCGGCTCGGAAAATTCTTAACTAACTACACCAGACCACAATAACATAATAATATAGGTTATCTTCCCTTACAAGACGGCGGCGACTCATTCACATTTTGCTTCACCTGGGGCTCTGATTAGCTGTATTCGATGGCGTACAACCCAATCAAATCGCTGACCGTGAAGCTAGGAAGTGGGTCATTGCAGACAAGGTATAAGATGAAGATATATAAATTTACGTAACTGTAGAATCACCCGGGACAGTGAGAGTTATCTAGTATTATGTATAAATGTTTATCTTGGTCACCATGTCAACTTTTTTTCTCTTATCAATATCAATTAATATTTAAATGAAAAATTCTTTAATTTTAGTCAAGCGTTTGGCTTGTATTCATGAGCACCGATGGTGCGGTATTGCGAGGAGAATTAGGGTGTTATCCTCTTCACTGATTCTTAAGAATAAAAAGCCGTAAACGCCATTTTCCAGGCACAAAAATTACAATGCTTTCGTACCTTAAAGGCCTTCGTACCTAAAAAGCCTTCGTACCTAAAGCGTTTTCGCACCTAAAACTTTCGTACCTAACAGGCTTTCCTACCTAAAAGGCTTTCCTACCTAAAAGGCTTTCATACCTAAAAGGCTTTCGTACCTAAAATGCTTTCATACCTAAAAGGCTTTCATACCTAAAGGCTTTCGTACCTAAAAGGCTTTCGTACTTAAAATGCTTTCGTACCTAAAAGGCTTTCATACCTAAAAGGCTTTCGTACCTAAAAGGCTTTCGCACCTAAAATGCTTTCGTACCTAAAAGGCTTTCGTACCTAAAAGGTTTTCGTCAAAGGAATATTAGAATGACTTGGTAAAAATATGTACATGGTTACAGTATTGATCATAAACAATTTTTAGCATTGACGTCATGTACTCCAATCAATACTGCAGAAATAAAATAAAAAACATAGGGGACTAGCACCAGTTCAAGAACGACCAGTAAGCGAGCATCACCGTAACTTTCCTGTTCAAAATACAAGTTGAAAAGTTATCAAAATGTTTTTACAGCTTGTTTTATGTGCTTTTATTGGTATGTATATTTTTATGTTGGTTAGTTTCGGGGGTTGATTTTGAATCTTGAAAATATTTTAAAAAATCTTCAGAAGCATCATGTTCCTTTAGCAACGTTAAATTATCCTGGATAATATCTACAGAAGAAGAACTAGAAATTTCACCAAAAGTACCCAAAACTAGGAAATTCCTTTTCTGTGAAAATTAAAGTTTTTAATTCAAAATGAAAAGTGAAATATGTAGTATGTGAGCCACCGTGGTGAATCTAAACTAGGTCGTTTCTTACAGGTATATTTGCTGTAAATGGACAGATTGTCGACAGCAACTGTACAGATAGTAAAAAAAGCGAATTCACAAACTGTTTTTACAGCACTGGATTCAAAGAGTCCAATATAAATGAGTTGTTCAGATTTAATGAACTACCATTAATTGATTATTGCAGGTCAGTAAATTTCATCACATTAGATAGCCCAACAAAGTGTCCAAGTGGCCCAATCAGAGAAATCGCCCCCCACCTTCCCGCATTGAAATCTCTTGTAAACATATGCGATATGTTTCTCTATTGGAAACAAGTGAACTAATGTCACTGTCTTGTAGCTCGTTTTGAAAAAAAATTAAAAAAAATTTGGGACGTTGAGCTGAAACCGTAATATATATATATATGTATATTATATTTAAGTGTAAGAGACAACTTCATTTCGCTGGTGCTATGTCTCTCTGATGTATTCCTAACGTGTTATGGTGATCACTTTAAAGACTTAACACTTACTGAGGAAATGCTTTACAATACGGCGTTTGCTCTATGCTCCAGAATGCAAGGTAAGTAAGCTATTTTCATTGCGTTTTTTTTAACACTTAAAGGGGTGGCAAAGAGGTTTTGTAAAAAAAAAATTATGTGTATCGGATAGGCAAACGTGACAGACTGTAATTGCCGTGGATGTTGGCCAGATTTTTAAACTGTCAAAAAATGTGACAATTGACAGATAACCAAACCAAACCAAACAAACGATTGCCATTCGACTACCAATCAACAAGAATTATCATGATCAGAACGAGTTTGGAAGAATGAAGGAGATCGAGTAACTCACGCCACACCATCCAGGGCCGAGTCTCACTGCCATGTCATTCGACCAGCCCAAAGCTAACAACTATCAACAACCAGACCAACAATACAGCATCATCCAATTTGAACCAACTACCAACTACTACGACTACCAACAACTACCTAGTTTGCGATATCATCATCCGCTGGAAGCGAACATTAACTTGTCATCTACCAACAACTACCTAGTTTGCGATATCATCATCCGCTGGAAGCGAACATTAACTTGTCATCTACCAACAACTACCTAGTTTGCGATATCATCATCCGCTGGAAGCGAACATTAACTTGTCATCTACCAACAACTACCTAGTTTGTGATATCATCATCCGCTGGAAGCGAACATTAACTTGTCATCTACCAACAACTACCTAGTTTGCGATATCATCATCCGCTGGAAGCGAACATTAACTTGTCATCTACCAACAACTACCTAGTTTGTGATATCATCATCCGCTGGAAGCGAACATTAACTTGTCATCTACCAACAACTACCTAGTTTGCGATATCAGCATCTACTGGAAGCGAACATTAACTTGTCATCTACCAACAACTACCTAGTTTGCGATATCAGCATCCGCTGGAAGCGAACATTAACTTGTCATATACCAACAACTACCTAGTTTGCGATATCAGCATCCGCTGGAAGCGAACATTAACTTGTCTCCCTTTAAGAAGAAACAATTTAAACTGGAAGTGACGCATGCGCTGTTACCCGAGAGTTGCGCATTTTCGTAGAATTTTTTAAGTTCTCAATTTATTATCCGATTTGTATGATTTTGGTTTCTATCAAATCTTTATCTTAAAAAAAGTTTGAAACAGAATTTCGAATTTCGAATTTAAATTTTTTTGTATGCCCATTTAATTTTTTGAAAATTTAAAATTTTACTTCTCGTGATTTTTAATCGATAATTTTGAGATGGCATTTCTGGAGTGTAATTATATACTTGATTTATTTACCGTAGAGTTTTTATTAGAGTTAAAAGCTAACAGGCTGTTCACAGTGTTCTAATCTTATTCAATTTCAGAGTTTGATAGCAGTTGTATCGATCGAGGAATTCTTGAGCATGTGGTCTGTATGAACCAATTGCCACCACCAGAATTGACAAATGATACATACGAGATGATGAAGGAGCAAGTTTGTGGGTAAGTTAATGATTGAAATCAGGCCAACAGAACTTTTAACCTGTGAAGGTGTCAGTGGGGATGCCAGCTTTATGAAATGAAATTAATAAACTGAATGTTGTTTTACGCGCCACCTTTCTGAAAAATAGGGTGTAGACTGACTTACTGAAAAAAAAAAATGCACCAAAATATACAATGTTAATTCTTTTGTACGTTATATTTTTAATCTATTTCAGAATTGGTAAATTTTCTGCGTACTGCATCGACAACTCAACGGAATATTCTAATTGCCCATCAACTCAAGACATATTACAAAATTTGATTAAATTCACGAATCGCGAAGCCTGTGGAGGAGAGGCTGGATACGAGAGCGGAGAATTTAAGAAACAGGAGACAAGTACAGAGGTTACAACTACAGAGGTTACAACTACAGAGCCTACAACTACAGAGGCTACAACTACAGAGGTTACAACTACAGAGGTTACAAATACAGAGGTTACAAATACAGAGCCTACAACTACAGAGGTTACAAATACAGAGGTTACAAATACAGAGCCTACAACTACAGAGGTTACAACTACAGAGGTTACAAATACAGAGGTTACAACTACAGAGGTTACAAATACAGAGCCTACAACTACAGAGGTTACAAATACAGGGCCTACAACTACAGAGGTTACAAATACAGAGGTTACAACTACAGAGGTTACAAATACAGAGCCTACAACTACAGAGGTTACAAATACAGAGCCTACAACTACAGAGGTTACAAATACAGAGCCTACAACTACAGAGCCTACAACTACAGAGGCTACAACTACAGAGGCGGAGAGTAGAAGAAATACAGCCACTACTGTATACCAATCAGTCGTACCACTAGTAACCATTACGTTTGTAAAGATTATATTTTAAAATCCCCTTTTAAACAAATTTTCAAGGCCGTGGTTCGGAGATTTATTAGGGTGAATATAAGTACTAGAACTGCACGAAAATCACATAATTGCTTCAATCTAGAAATTTCGACGGTTAGATGTGATCACTATTACTGATACTGGTAAAAACAATCTTGTTTCTAAGAATAATAGTGCGTCCAGACGACTAAACTTACGGCAGCTTAACATCAACCGTTCTTCGAGTCTGGTTTACTGTTTTTTGTTATGTTTTGAATGACATAAAAGTTAAACCAGGTTCGACATTACCTCGGAAGTAAGGCTTAGTTCGGAAAGTTTGACATATCAGGCTTTATGTTAGTCAGTAGCTTTCAGACGGCAAAACTAAGCCGGCTTAACTATCATTATCAAGCCAGAAAAGGTACTAGATATAGACGAAAATCGTATAACTCCTTCAAAAAAAAGGAACTAGAAATTTGACGTTCTATATCTACATAGAGACTAAGGGTTTGATTGGTAGAACGAATGACGCATCTGTCCTTTTAGCCAGCTGAGGTTTAACCGATCGCGTTCAGACAACTAAACAAAATCAGGCTCGAAGAATGGTTAACAGTTGGGCTGCCTTAACTGAACGCACTATTAGTCACGGTACACTAGTCCTCGCGATGTCCCTTTAACACTATGTTCTTCACAGTGGCGGAGCCATTTTGGGGAGCCTAAATCAAGTTTTTCAGGCAATAATCTCATAACTAATAACGGGGAATCTCAGATATTTCGCTCCCTTTCGGACTTGGACTTAAAACTGGCTCCGCCACTGGTTCTTCATTAGTTATTTCACGTTAATACATATTTAAAAATAAATTTATTTGGTACCTTAAACCGTGTTCTATATTTCTCAATAAAAACAGTATATCATGACAGACGATAAACATTGTTCACAAGAAAATTAAATTCACATTCAACAGCGACCATTGTAACAAAAACCAGTAACCACCTTTAGTCGTAGTCCTACCACCATATGTAGTGTAGCCAACCACCAAAGCGTTTTAGGACACCTCTATCGCGGAGAATATTTTGGCAACTCTAGTCGCAGACCCATGGCTACAAAGAAAGGAGGTGGAGGGGCTACGGATTGCCCCCGAACAAATTCTGCAGGCCGACCAATATCATCATTGCAACTATTCATCTAACACCAGTGGCGGAACCAAAAGGGGGGGGGGGGGGGGGGGGCCCAAAAGGGCCCCCCTTGGGGGCCCC